CCTTTTGCTTTCAACCCATCACGATCATCTTCTCCAGAGTACTCCGGAACCTGAATCTTGTCCTGTCCACCGCCTCCATGGCGACGGTCATCCCCCATCCATGGATCTCCACCACCTGCGGTCCACCAAGGGTCATCTTGACAAACCTGTGGAGCTGTTGGTGCGAAGATGATGGTCCTTGCCCATTCCCCTGAGTTGAACCATTTCCTCCGGTGAGTCCAGAACCCCAAGCGCAGAAGCTGTTCCATTGCCTCCACTCTTCATCTGACCAGCCCCTTCGCCCCCACGACTGTTCAGAGGTTCTTTGCGATGTGACTTCATCTTCTCGATCTTCACCTTGTTCTTCTCCATCATCAGCGCCCTCAACAGCGCTGGGCGAAGGCATCGCGACCGCGAAGCCCACCTTGTAGTTCCCCAGAGCCACCCTCGAAGGTCCCAACCAACCAACCGCACCCACCGGGTACGGTAACGGCTCAACGCTACCAATGTAAACTCGAAAGGTCGCGGCCTATTTTCACACTCAAAGAACCCTTGTGCCTATATGGCGTCGTGAGCAACAGCAGCAGGGTCAACTGGGAGTGGTTTATTCACAGTTACTAGTAGCGATGCACCTGTTCCAAGCAGCTTCTAGTCACTATTATAATGGAAGTGTGGCATAACTCTGAAGTCAAAGTCAAATGCGAAAGGTGCTTTCCACACTCACCTCAAGGTTCTCTCCAAGAGCAGCCCTGCCGAACCATTTGGCGAGCTCGTGTTGGGTCTTGTGCAGCCGCAAGTTGCCTAAGATCGACAAGGTGTTTGGGTCCGCGTCACATTCCAGGAAACAAGGTATATAAATATAGCCAAGCCATATATCTCAAAGGTTGCTTTATCTTGTGGATTGTGGACATAAATTAGAATTTAGTTAAAATCAATAAGCTACTAGGAACAAGTGCATCGCTACTAGTAACAAGTGCCTTACTAGTAGTAACAAGAAGCTAGTAGTAACAAGAATTAGTATATTGTTTCTACTAGCGAACATTGTTCCTAGTAGTAAGGCACTTGTTACTAGTAGCGAGGCACTTGTTACTTGTTACTCGTAGCGTTCTTGTTGAACTGTGTGCCCAGGGACGGATGGCATTCACGATAAACACCCTCGCCATTAAATTGAACCAAGCTAATCGATCGTGCCAGTCTGAAGGCTGTGCGTCTTTGGCAGCTTGAAAGGTATTGAAGGCTCGAGGATACACATGAAACCTCGCACAATCACGGTCAGAATCTCTGCTTTCCCGCAGTTTCCTGCCATGTGTGTCACTATGTTCTACCATTGTATCATGACATTTGTTTTGAATCACAAGGGTGCTACAGAATTAGTGTGACCAAACTTTGCTCACTGGCAACAGCCATGGCACATGTACAAAATACGAAGAGCCAGCTCTGAGGTGTACGTTTGCACCTGGCAGACCGAAACACAAAAGCACAAGCAAAAAACACAAATGACCAGAAAGCATTCGCGTCTCCTAAGCGTTAGGGCTGTCCATCAGGGCCTTGAGGCTCACATTTTTGAAACATTTCGTAGTTACTCCGGTCGTTCCAATCCTTAACTGTTTGGCTGTGTGCTCCTAGTCGCTTCTTGTTCCTAGTAGTAAGGCCAGCCCCTAGTAGCGCCCTTGCTCCTTGTTCCTACTCTTTTCTTGCCTCGGTCTGAAAGTTGTATTGGAAGGGGTTCTGCCACCGGACGGGCCGATGCTTCGTCAGCCGCTTCCGCTCAACACCACCGTTGTCGCCCATCTCATCCTGGCTGAGTTGCAACACTGTGAACAGAATCTCTTTGCAAAGAAAAAACCGAGCGCAAACTACGAGACAAACCATTGTGTTTGGTAAGCTTTACCAAACAATGCTCACTCTTGGGGCAGACTTGTCCACACCATTTCAGAGCTGTCTAACGTAAAGAACAGAGATACTAAAAAGGTATAGAGAGCGCCTTGTCAAAGATGCCCTTACTTTCTTTTGTTTTAAACTTATCTCGTTTCTTTAGCTTTGAAAACATGAACTCAGTTAAGCCTTTCACCGATCCTCCTCGTCGAGATTGAAGCGACCTCTGATGGTCTCAGCAGAAAGGTCCACATCGCATACGTCTTCACCTAGGAGCAAGGACGCTACTCGGGGCTGCTAGCATCGCTACTAGGGGAAACGAATCGGCACCGCTTTCTTCGGCCCAACTTCCCCTTCCCTGATTGAGTCGGCGCCTACTTAATTAAGCAAGCCCGAAATTCAAGAAAAGAAACACTACCAAAGATGTTGCTTCTATTCGGACAGACTTGGCATTTCCAGCTGAAGAGTTGATCTGATGACATCGCCTATTCATGGTATTTCATGGTGCATCTTTCTTGTACATGCACCTCCGGGACATAGCCCTTTTCTTGCTTTTAAGCCCGCCCTTACAAACACTTCTGTGCCTGTACCCCCACCTTGGACATTTTGGTAGCACCCAACATCAGGCGCCGGGGGCAACTTTACCCCTCGCTGCTGCAGCAGCCGCGCAGATGCTTCGCACAGTGCCTGAGCTCAAGGTTGGGCAGTGCAATGGGAACTCTCTTAAACTACTCTCCAAAATGTCTTTCCAACAATCTTCAGTTTGCCAAAGCACAGGCATGACCAAATCACAAAGATTTGTTCCAAACATTGCTTTTTGCCGATTTACAGAAAACACCAGTTGAAATCTATTCTTTTGTTTTGCAGGGGTACCCGATTGGCCAATTGTCGGGGTTTTGGCTAGTAGGTCTCGCCACAAACCGAACGAGCATACCATGCCTCACATGGCAGTGACGGAGTGAGTTGTAAGCCAGTCTCAGAGGAGAAGGCCTTAGCATCGAATCTTCAGTGCCAAAGCCAGCAAAGCTGGTCATTCAAAGACAGTTTTGCTACTTGCGACCTTTCATGTGTTTATTTAAGTGAATTTTTGACTGAACACGTGCGAAAACAAACAAACTAGTTGTGTTGGGCCAACTGACAGCTTGCCTCTTCAGTGTTCATTCAATGCATGTGGGAAGGTGAACCATACCAGTCTCTCTCTTGGACTGCTTGGTGCCTCAAATGCTTTCGATCTACGAAGCCACACTCCTTTCGGCTTTTTCATTCTGCAGAACCTTGATTCCTCCATACAAGCCAAACACAAAGGCCTTCTCTTCTCGGCTTAAATTCTGCGCCTGCAGCGTGCTGTTCGCCACAGCAAGCAACGTCCTCAATTGTGACAGCTGTAGCTTCCCTGCGCCATCGTCGCCCGAGCGACAGATGCTGGCAGCGCGAGAGCAAAGCAGTGTCAGGTCCTGGCGACCCAAAGCGCAGAAGAACAGCGCACTCGGCTCGCTGTAGAATTCCCAGCGAACCGCAGCCAAAGAGTTTCTAAACCGTTGAAGGGGGTCGCCTGGTGGTTTTGCTTGAGAGGTGGGAGTAGAAGCAAAGATCAGCCACCAAGGAGTTGGGCACCAGCACAAAAACTTTTGTATGCATGGTAATTTTCATGTCTATCGAAGACAGGAGTCCACTTGGAGCTTCACAACAATTTGAGAGATTATCTCCTTTTTTGGCAGATTAGAGAAGGATTCAGCGTGGCCGAGGGCTTGCCTGCGAAGATTGAGCCGCGCCAATCTAAGAGCCACTATGTTGCAACCGTGGAGCCCAGCTTGCAACCGGAACCTCTCTTCTTTGGGCGGTCGAAACACGGCAATTTGCGCCTCTCTGCGTCTCGCTGCTTCAGCCTTGCTTCCTCACACGTCTCTACCGGAAAGTTCATGGCTGGTGGCTCTGCCGCCTTTCTGGCTTTCTTTTGTTCAGCGTGCGCCTGTCTGCTCACTTGGGAAAGCATGGTCGGACCTTGCTCCTTTACGACAGCCGGCAATTGTCCATTGGCGTTTCAGAAAGGAATCTAGAAAAGGCTCCAAAAAGAGTGAACAGACGGTAAGGGCTAAGGTAGTAAGGTAGTAAGGTAGAAAGGTAGAAAGAAAGAAAGAAAGAAAGAAACACACAAGAAACAAAGAAAGACACAAGAAACAACAAAAAAGTAAAAACAGGAAACAAAGACTCGAAGAGGTCTTTGTTGATGACCATTGCTTTTTAAAATACGTTTTCTATTTCTTTCTTTCTTCTTACCTTTAGACCTTTTCTTCCTTTTTGTCCTTGTCTGTATATATTTTTGCCTTACACAAGGTCCCCTGCTTTTACTTCCCAGTTTTTTCTGCGGTTTCCGGATGTCCAACCGGCCCTTATCTCTTGCATCTACGAACTTTCCCCTGCCTCAGCTTGCGCGCGCGCTCGTCGTTGCAGGGCATCCAGTGAACAGCTTTCCGCTGCTACTCCGCACTCGTCGTCCAGGAGCAGTTCTTCCGCACCCGACAGCAATGCAAACACCAAGCATAGCAAGCCGAAGAACATCGGCATCAAAAGGGACTGGTTTGATCAAAATGAGTCCTGGAGCTGCTTTAACGTTTTGAGACATGGGGGTTGGGTCAAAACGATACCTTTGTTGACCTACTTGGGAGGTCAAGCTACATGGCGGACGACGGCTCCAGGTTTTGATCAAAGGAATAGACATTAAAGTCATTAAAGCATGAGTCGTTATGATTTGCGCCAGTTAACCCAGTTCTCAAATTCTTTTCATATCAATGGCACAACCTTGTGAAAGCATCTAAATCCATGAGCCAACAGCTGCAGTCCTCTTCTCAGATGGACCCTACTTTTCCATGGGTTACTCTCAGCAGAACTGGAAGGCCTTCTTTGACGACCGGTGAAGCGACTCTGTTTTTATACAGGTCAACCCGATTTGATGGTGTCTTGACTGACCTGCTACTAGGGGCACACTCGTGAAATGACAAACACAATCATTTCGTCACGGTTTCATTATGGCGCAACCCTGGGTGCCGGGTCTTGAGGCTCAAACTCAACTACGCCGTGTACCCCTGGCTACCGGATACATACCGAAGGCCTTCTTTCGTTTCGCACGCAATCGGAGATATCAGCGCCTGATGCTTCACCAGCAAATGACAAACCTGGCTATGCAACAAACTCGAAGAAACGGTGATCGTTTTGAGGCATAGATCTCACGCGTCAACTAGACAGTTTGGCCCTCTGGGCCTCTGGGTAAGTCTGTATCAAGTATCAACCCTTCGAAGGCAACGATAAAATGTGTCAAATCGAGCAACCAAAATGTGCGCTTTCTGCTCGCAATATCCAGTTGTTCTGCCTTGCCATTTGTGTTTGCTTGGCTTTGCATTCCCCACACCATTGTGGTGCAGCAGTTCTTCCATCGACCAGTGTGAAAAACAAGCGAGAAACGGTTTCTGAAAACGGACCAACCATTTTTGGCAAACAGTTGCATACTACTTAGTTGCTGCTCTAACTGGCTGGTTCCACTCTCAAGAATTGAGACTCCCTTTCAACCGAAACTTGCAACAGGAAACTCTAACTAACAGTTTTCCGACATCGATTTCTTTATGTATTTTACAGGATCAGCTCTAATAGTACTAACTACCTAGCTAACC